GATGAAGCTGCTTTCCAATGCACCGTTCCTGACTCAGTCAGTGTTTAATCCAAGAATGATATCAATTAGTTTTATGCTTTCAAAGAAATCTAATTTGGGATTTTTCCTCATTAGTTTTTTCCAAGTATCAGGTTCATTTTAATCCAATAAAATGCTGAAAATTTGTGGAAAAACAGACCATCAGAGAGCACAAAGTGCTGACTGCATATTTTGTCCAACCAACCCTCGCAAATCAGCAGATATTACACTGATAATGATATACAAGTAGGACAATCGCATTGGGATTTCTGCCAGTGATAAATGACTTTACATATTAATAGGTTTTCAAAATTGTCTGTGATTTATTTGTGGCCATTGGTTCCTACACTTCTAATGGTGTCTAGAGAGCCAAGAAATCAATTCCTACTCACTACCTCATATTACAGATTGCATATATGTATGAGCTGCAAGCAGTTCATCAAGAGTGATGATACTTTCACAAACCACCACATTTTATCATTGAAAGGTGTCCAACTGGTACCTTTTTTGCTAAACAGAGGGAAGAATTATGGGAATTTAACCAACGTCGATCATGCTATTCATAGGTTGACTGCTAATTGGCTGACTAGTTGGCTTGGAGATTGAGGGGAACAACAGCAGAGTTCTCGATGAACAAGAAGAAGGGCAAAAAAATGTAAATATAAAAAAATAAAAATCACAAGACCTCAGACAATGGCTTTTTTCATTGTTTTTTCCTGTTTGATCATGACAGGGGTTAAAGCACAAACAATGGGACAAACAGCCCACATTACTGACTGCTCCATGTGTTTTTGGCACTGCCATCAGGTGACAGTACAGTTTCAGCACGTAGACGGGGTCCTGCACAGCTCTGTGTAGCTGCTCCAGCCTACCAACACTGCATCATGCCACGCGCTTTACAAGGTGAAAAAAAACACTGTTAACAAAGGTTTATAGTTTCAGAGTGTAAAACAGTGTTTACTTACTTCGTTTGATTTTATTTTTTGAAATTATAAGTACCTTCGGTGCTTAGTACTACGTTGTGTTATGTTGGATATGTTATGTGTCAGAATAGGAGTTCTACAGCAAACTAAATTTAATTTGCAAAAAAGTAAGTCTTAACTGATTACTAAATTCATTGATTTACAGGTTCTCCACGGTCTGGGACTTACAGTGCAATTCAAATATCCGGATATCTGTTGCAAGACTTCAGTTCAATGAACCAGTCACTGTTTACAAATGTAAATACGTCTTTAAAAAGGCTAATAGAGGCTAAACCACTGTCAGACAAGCACGAGTGGGTTTGAGATTGCATTTCTATTCCCTTATTTACTCTCTACGTGGACTACAAACGTATTTGGCAGAAAATAAATGGAAGACAGAACGATTTCTTTACCTTCTCGCTTTTCTACAGAGTCAGGCTATTCATATGCGGTATCTATTTATATAGATTCATCTGTCTATGACTGTGGAACAAGAATAGGCTCACAGATTTTATTCTCTCTTTTTTTCTCTCTCACACACACACACACACATTCACACAGCGCACTGATCGATGCAGGGAGAGACCCCACAACTCTAGCTGCAGGACGGCTTCAGTCACCACTTGGCCACTCTGCTGTGAAATTACAGTGTGGGCATGTGGCAGGAGGTACGATGATGAGGCAATGCTGCACGATGAAGGAGATGATGAATTTCTGAGTGGGAGGTAATTATTCTCCCGCACTTGTCTTACCTTCTGGTACTCAGAGTCCTCTGGCCTGAAGTCGCTGCTCACTGTCTGAAACTCGATGTTGAAATGAGGCAACCGGTGGAGCAGATTCACCCACCAAGGCGGAGAATAATTCACCACGGCCGCCATCCTGATGCAGCTGCCTGCCGGCTCTCACTTCACTCTTTAGCCCGATTCCTCACAGGGACACTGTAAAAGAAACAGCCAATCACTGCATCTGAGGAGGACACAAAGCAACTTTTAATGTCACCAAACGCATTAGATGAAGAGTAAGACGCAGCATTCGCATGTTATCATAAGGCTAATGTGATGACCTAACAGTAATCAATACCCACTAACAGGGCGGGTCAAAAATGCCAATATAATGGATACCCTCTTTATTCATTAGTTATGCATATATTTTCACAATTTATTAATTTCAATAAGAGTATAGCTGCTGAATCTTTCGTGATCATTTCTCATTGGACCAATATAAAACACCCCTGCTGTAAAACACAGGGGTTACAGGTTTCTGTGTGTTTTGTTACAAAGGCAAAAAGACTGCAATATGACATATGACTTTACTATTTGGGGGGTTGCCTTCCTTTACAGTGATGTATGTTTGGCTTATTGCCAGTATCACAATGCATTATAATAACTATATTATACTATATTACTACCGCACAACAATTATCACCAATAACCTATTAAATGTAATTAAAGCCCGACAAGACATTCAGTAAGTGTACATTTCGCCCAAACGTTAAACCTGTACATGAATTATGGCATGACAAGAGCATCCATGACAGCGTCACCCAATTTACGCCCATACTGCAAAAACACAGGCTTCGTGAAATAAATGTGTCTTGAACGGGGGG